CCCCCCGGTGCCCGCGAGATCCCCCCCGGCGCGCGGCTCCTCCGACCCGGCCCTTCCCAACTCTCAAACGAAAGCGCTGCCTTTCCTCGTCCTCTGCGGGTGCTTTGTGACCATCTCTGCCCTTCATCGCTGCGTGTTCTCTCTCGCTCGGCGGCGTCCCTGGAGGTCGCCCGAGTTTGCTCCTTTTCGTCGCCGAGGGGTGCTCCACGGCCTGGTGGCCCCGTCCACCCGCTCACCCCCCGAGGACGCCGGCTTTGTCTCCGCTGGCCTACAGGTTTTCTCACGGACAGACACTTTCGCTTCTCTGAAATAAGTTCCCAGAGGTGCACCTGCTGGCTCTGCTGTAGTTATCGGATTTCGTGTTTGTTTGTTTGTTTTGGTACCGGGATCGAACTCGGGACCCTGCGCTTGCCAGGCAGGCAGCAGAATCGCTGAGCTAAGTCCCCGGCCCTAGTTATGGGTTTCAGGAAAAAGGCCCCATGCGTCTTTGGAAACGACTGTGCTCTTCCCATTCCCGGGCGTCTCTCCGCCCGCTTGACCTCCGCATCACTGCTGTGCTTCATTGTAGCGTTTCTGAGCGGCACGTAACGATGCCACATTGCGGTTTTCATTGTATTCCCCAATAGCTGTTGGCACAGAACCTCTTTTCGTGTGCTTTCCTTGCGCTTATTTCATATATAAGAACCTGACTTAGAAGCAGAAGAAAAAGACACCACATTGTCTTTTATGGTGGATCAAATTATAATGGTTAAGGGCCTGGGATTTAGCTCAGTGGCACTGCACCTGCCTCACAAGTGCAAGGTCCTGAGTTTAATCCCTGGTACCAATAAATATAAACAAATAAAATTATAGTGGGGTAGGGTTCAAGTTCTGCTCTCACTTGGCAAAGGTCAAAACGCGAGCAAGACCCGGATTTCCAAACGCTCTCCCTGGTATGGGCCATCTGTTCACATTTTCTGAAAGGGTTAATAGAGCTTAAAATTAAGCAAGGAAGGTAAGTCTGAATCACACCAACATTTACCATCAGCAACGTATGCACAAACTCTGAAGAATGGGATTAGATGCTTGGTCGAGGGGTTGGGGTTGATTTTATATCTTTCTACATTATTTTAAAAAATTTAGCATAGCACATTGCAAAAACATTTTTTTAAAAAAAACAGAGTCTCACCAATAAATAAATAAATAAACAAACAAACAAATAAATAAATAATAAAAAACAGGGTCTCACTAAGTAGTTGAGACTGACCTGGAACTCACTATGTAGCCCAGGGTGGTCTCGAACTCATGGTGATCCTCCTGCCTCAGCCTCCCTAGTGCTGGGATTACAGGCATGCGCCACCACACCCAGCGCAAAAACAATTTTTAAAAGTGGTGGTGCAGGCCTGAAATCCCAGTACTTGAGAGGCTGAGGCAGGAGAGTACCCACAAAGTTTGAGGTCAGCCTGGGCTACATAGGTCAAGTTCAGCCTGAACTATACAGCGAGGCCCTGTCTCAAAAAACAAAAAACAAAACAAAATAAAACTTAGTGACTTAGTGATACTGTCTATAAAAATGGTTTAATGCATCAGTACAAGAAACATACAATTTTGGTTTGTGGAGAACTTTACTATTCCCATTAAATAAGGAGAAAATATTAAAAGCTGAGCATTGGGATCTCTGAATACAAAAATAAGTGAAGGTGCCAGATTTTGTATGTTTTGAGATACCATATTTTCTTTGTATCTCTTAACAAGTGATTAGACCAAATGAGCAGTACATAAAACAAAGAGGAAACCTTGGCTCTTATCGCAGTGGAGAACTGAACCTTCCCTATCTTTTGTTCCTTTATATAGCTGAGCTTGAAGTACCTAATAGATGCTGATTTAAAAGGGATTGCAGACTTCTGTGCGAAGAAAGGAGAGCTTATGAATGAATTAATGGAGGAGAGTTAGCAATAGAAAACAAACGACGTGAAAGTTTCAGGGCTATACCATCCAGGGAGAATATCCCCGGGTTACCACGGTGGCCAGAAATTGCCACAACGCACACGACAAAGCTACCAGGGAAACAGCGAATTCTCTTCTGGATGTGACCTTTGGGCTCTGATGTCCTCGAGAGGTCTTGAAGTTCCGTGCATGAGTGCTAGCATGTAGATCCAGTGCAAACATCTGCTAATTTTCATTTAGTAGTTAGCATAAAATGTCATGCCCAAAGCATCAAGTGAGAGGAAGTCACAATTATTATCTGTTATACTCAGTTGGGAAGGAATCTGTATGATCTTAATTTTGGCAAACGGTCAGAGTCTCTTTGTGAACCATTTGGAGTCGCAGTTGACACTCAGGTGGCACAGGATATAACCCGTTCGTCCTTTTGGATGTCTGCTCGTCATAGTAATTACCCTTAAGCATGAAGTTAATCATGATAGCATTATTTTTATATATAAGAGCTTTTAGAGTTATAACTCTTTAAGGCTGATGTTTTTCAAGGAACGTGCTCTAGCTTTTAAAACAAGTAATACTGAAAAATAGACACACATTATTACAAATGTGGTGAAATGCATACAAATAAACTAAAAGCAATGGCAGATTAATGGCCCTGGATCTAGGAAATGAAACTATTTGCAAATTATTTCTCTGCTGCCTACACATGTGTCTGAAGAAATTAAAATACGATTAAAATGTGGTTCTGCAGCTCCTACCCGGGATCAGTGGAGCATCTTGAGAATAACGAAAGGTCCCTTCCACAGAGAAGGACCTATAGCATCTTCCAGAAGGTCAGGGAGATGAGGAGAAAACTTTTCTTTCCTTTGAATAAACTAATTTTGCAACATCATGCCGTCACAGACCGGCTGGCCAGGAAAGTGCCTCTGCTGTGGTGTAGCTCTGCTGTGTAAGGCAGGAGTATGGGCTGGCGCCTCTGCTTGTGGAAGTGGTCCCAGTTCTTGCCCCTCACCTCCAGTCCTGTCCTCTGCAGTGTGACTTCGTAGTTCTCGCTGCTGAGAGGCAGTGTTGGTGCCCTCACCTGCCACACCCCGGCTGCCCTGTGACACGTGCTGCCCCTAGAACACAGGAGAGGGGACAGGGTGCCCCTTCAGAGTCCAGGTTGCTGCGCTTCTACACTGAGCCCAGCTTGGAGGTGGAAGGGTGAAAGGAGCCGAGGAGCAGAGGCAAGTTTCCTGGCTGAAACCACCCCACATCAGCCTACCCCCAGGCTCCCCAGCAGCCGGGCCAGGACCAGCTGCTGAGCATGGTGTAGATCAGTGAAACCTCCCAGCAGTCGGCAGACCCTCAAGATAAACAGCTGCCTTAGTGTCAGGCCACCAAATGTCGAAGTCGTTTTGTTACACAGCAATAGCTAACTGATGTATGCAGCTGACATCTTCAACTCTTCTACGCTAAAGCAAAATAAGATAAAACCACTCTCCATTATTCACCCTGCAGTGGTCAAGCCAGGGTTCCCTTTTCTTTACGTCAAGTTTCTTAATATCCACATAGGCCTCACCTCACTAGTTTACTGGTGTTTAGTGGCCGGTCAGTGTCGTTAAAGGTTCTGAGCCTGGGATGAAGGCACGACGTGAGTGGGGTCTTTGTGGTGATGAGGGACCCTGGGCGTGGAAAAGGCAGTGGAACCCAGTGGGGGAACGGAGGAGACATGGTGCACGGATGGCTTCAAACACCGTCTGCCTGTGAATTCGCTGGTTCTGCGGAGCCGCCATGGTAGGGAGCGTCCGATGTGAAGAATGGAAACTCTTGGTAGGCTTTGAGCTTTCTGGTTTGATTCTGGGCTGTTCTTCTTTGATTAATCGTATCAAAGAATTGCACTAATAAGTTAACTAAAATTGTATTACACAGATGAATTGATTAGGAAAGATCTCACTTTTAGATGAACGAGGATGAGAATAATAAAGTATAGAACATTTTGCTTTTCTATCCATGTTGAAGTTTTATATTTTTTCTATGTGGTTTTTTTTTTTTTTTTTTTTTTTTTTGTTACCGGGAATTGAACTTGGGCCCCTGCACTTGCAAGGCAGGTGGCAAAACCACTGAGCTAATGTTTCTATTTTTTATTAAGCTTATTCCTAGGTGTTTTATTATGTATAGTTTTATACTAGAATGTTTGTCTGTATGTTGTCAAACTGCTTCCTGATATGTAGGAACCTGATCTCTACCTGCACTTACTTTGTACATAACTCAGTGAACTCTCTTTAACTTTGTTAGCTTCTGTTTCTATGCTTATTTCTCTTTTTTTGTGTGTGTGCCAGGAATCAAACTCAGGACCTGGTGCTTGAGCAGCACCACTGAACTACACCCTGCTCTCCTCTTTTCTTTTCCTTGTTTCTTGGTACTGGGGATTGAACTCAGGACCTTGTGCTTGCCAGGCAGGTGCAGCACCACTGAGCCGCATCTCCAGCCCTCCTCCTGTCTGATGTTTGTTATCTATTTCTTTTCTACTTGTGTTCACGACTAGAACACCCAGAGGAATTCTGAATGGATTACTGCAGGTGGAAATGTGGATATTACATTTTCTTAATCCTTTCATATTCAGGAAAATTGTTCTATTTTCTTCATAAATGAAAGGACTTTTAATTGGTTTTATTTCTTTGACGTCCTTCTTATTTTGCTCACTTTGCTTTTCAAATCATTAAAAGACCCAAAACTCCCATCCTGTGTTCCTTTTATCATTTCTGTCGCCTTCTGTCTTCCTGCTCTGATTCACTGAGACAGCATTTTCCAGCATGTCAACAAGATTCCTGAAATTCTTCAGGACTTGGTTCTTTCCTGTACTTTTGCACTACATTTTTCAGACCATTATTTTTCTCTTTCCTTTCCTATCCTTTCTTTTTCTATCTTTCCATTTTCTTTTTCTTTTTTTGTACTAGGGATCAAACCCAAAGCAAATGCTGTCACCAAGCTCTATCCCCAGCCCTTCTTGCTTGGTCTTGAATAAGTTGGGATCTGTGTGTGTGTGTATGTGTGTGTGTGTGTGTATACATACATATATATATAAGTTCTCTTTGCTCATGGGATGACAGTTCTTTTCTTGGATGTATTCTTTGAGAGCAACTTAAAAGTGCTACTACTCCACTTGCCAGTTTTTATAGTGTTTTCAACTACCGAGGCTAAATTCACGACACCTTCTATTACTCTTCACGCTTTGAAGCCGTGCATCGTGTGAAAATGCATGTGCTTGTCAGGTACCTGGGATGATAGTTTTGTGTGTAGGGGTAACAAGGACGTGATGGTTCGCATGTCTGTCAGACGTCACTCTTGCTGTGCTCGTGAGGATGTTTCTGAATGAGAGCGACGTTTGAATGGCAGACTGGGAAAAGCAGGCGGCCCTCCTCAGTGTGGCCAGGCCTCACACAAGCCTTTGGAAGCCTCAGCAGAAGAAGATCGGGTAATAGGGATTGCCTCTGCATGGCCATGTCTGAACAGGGATGTCAGTTTTACCTGTCCACACTGGGGCTGAAATGGCAGCTCTTTCTGAGTCTTAAGCCTGCTGACCTTGGGACTAAACTGCACCAGGAACTGTCCTAGTCCTCTGGCTTGTTGATTTCACATCTGGGCGCTCAGGCCCTACAGAAGGGAAGAATCTGTGCCGATTCCTTACAATCAATCAGTCAATCAATCTCTCTATCTAGATATATGTATATATCTATATCTATCTATCTATCTATCTATCTATCTATCTATCTATCCATCTATCTATATATATATATCTATCTCCAGGCTAGCTTTGAACTTGTGGCCTCAGCCTCCTGCCTCAGCCTCCCAAGTGCTGACATTGCAGGTGTGCACCACCACACCTGGTGCACCTTTTGAGGGAGGTGTGTTTTGGAGCAATGTATGGGTGATTTTTTTAAAGCTCTGTAATGACCGGAACTAGGATCATATCTGCTCACAGTATAGTCCTAGAACCTGGTCCAGTAATTGGCACAGAATAAGTGCTTAATAGTCCTCATTAATATTTACTGAGTATAGCAGGGCATGGTGGTGCATGCCTGTAATCCCAGCACTTGGGAGGCTGAGGCAGGAGGATCGCTGTGAATTTGAGACCAGCCTGGGCTACAAAGTGAGTTCCAGGTCAATCTCAACTACATAGTGAGACCCTGTCTCAAAAAACAAAAATCAAAAGACAAAACAAATATTTACTGGGTATACCTTTGGGTTAGTGAAGAATCACCGGGACTCTGATAGTCATATGAGTTGCACATGGCATAATTTTCCTTATGATAATTCTTCTTTTTTTCTGTAGATTCATAGCTATTTTACTGGACGATTGGGAGAAACTTTACATATTTGTAAAGCAGAAGCCATTCTGATGAATTTTAAACCATACTGCGTCAGAGTTAGGAGTGACTATTGAAGGTCAATGGTACCTCACATTCCGCCGCAGAGGTCAGAGACACCAAGGAGCGCTGTGGTTTGGGGACCCTGAATGAATAATTGCTCAGAGCCCATTCTGTCAACGTGCGCCCTGGAGGAAATGAGAGCCGTTCCTGTATTTACCGGGTATGCACGCGTGGCAGTGAAGAGGACCCTTGCGAACACTCGGTTACACATGTGTGTGGGCGGATACCTCTGCGGGTGCTGACTGCTGCAGTTCGCCGCTCCTGCCTCGTCTGCTACCACGCACGCCGTCTTTTCGTGACTGGTTCCAGGTGCACACGGTGCGCTTCTACACTCAGCTTCTCTTCCAGACTCCAGGGCATGAGCTCACGGCAGGGAGAGCGTTACTGTCAGGAATATCTCGCCGCCGGCTCCAGGACAGACCATTAAATAGTTGCACAAGTCTTTGTCAGCGAGCTATTGTTCTGCAGGTGCTTTCTGTGTTGACACAGCCCGTGTTGGCTCTGTTTTATGTATTGCTCTTTCTTTTGAAGAAAATCATAGCAAAAGCAGGACTCCTACCACAAAATGGAAACAGTTTATATATTTAGCGATTGAACGCCTCAGAAAAGAATTGAGCAATCAGTAAGAGATGAATGGATGAATGAAAAACAAATCTACCTTCAAAAAATACTAAAACAAGGAAAGCAGAAGTTAGAGTAAAAAGACATTTGCCAGATAGAAACAAGGGTTCCTAGAAGCGCAGAGGGAAAAGTGAAAGGCAGTTCAATTAATTGTAAGGAGGTAAATAATTGTTTAAATGCAGACATGCTCACAGCTCTGCGGTAGAAAAAAAGGTGTAAATCACAGTCCCAGCCCTTGGTTTAGTGTTCAGAGCTGAAAAGAGAAACTAGAACAAGTAAACAAATCAGACAGATCCTGTAAGTATCACTTATATTAACACGTGTTTCTCTAATGATCTGTTTTATCCTAAGCACATGTGGCTACGGTGCCCTCAAAGATAGCACTTGTGAGTCCTGGGAACACGCAGTTAGAGAATAATATATAGCTGTCTGGAAAGAAATCGAGATTTTTGGAAAACTTAAGCAGCTTCTGTACGACTGCCTGTCCCATGCCCGGACGGCCCCTGGACAGACCGCACTTATAGGAACTCGCCTTCCTCCTCCTATGAAAGGCGCATTTGTGTCCCTCGGAATGAGAGGCATGCGTGGTATGAACGCAGGAGTCAAGGCCACCGCAGGCCGACAGTTGTGACGCGTACTTCGTGCTCTCTACCCTTCCCTGCAGATAAGGGCTTGTTGGCTATCTACATCCACTGCTTGTACCGGCTTAGTCCCGAATGCTTTGCTGCTGTTGTAATTTTTACTTTTACTTCACCTTTCTCTGTGATTGCCATTGGGAAATTTCATCTCAGTCTTGAATCTGTCTGATCTCCTGCAACCTTCCCTAGCATTTATTTGGTATTTCCTCGGTCTTTACACAGGGCTCAACAATTTTAAAATTCTTTGTCTTTAACTCTTAAATGGAATAAAGGCTCAGAAATTTATACAATGTTTATAATCCCCTACATTTTAAATCTGTATGGGCACCATGCGCCTACTGTTTTGCAAAGTAGAAGTTTGAATTTACTTTTAAAAATTTTAAAGACTTGTATAGCCGGGTGTGGTGGCGCACGCCTGTAATCCCAGCACTTGGGAGGCTGAGGCAGGAGGATCACTGTGAGTTTGAGGCCAGCCTGGCTACAATAGTGAGTTCCAGGTCAGTCTCGAGCACATAGTGAGACCCTGTCTCAAAAAACCAATAAATAAAAATAAATAAATCAAATACTTGTACAAATTTTACACAAGATATACAAACCATCAATTATCATCTGTCACCTGAGAAGGTTAATATTTCTTGAATATTTAAAGTAAGGTGCTGACTAGAATGTGGAAATCTGGAGCAAACAGTTGATAAAATTTGAAAAATACATTAACCCATGAAGCCACCATCCCAGTGAAGACAAACACTTGTATCAGTGCAGAAAGTTTTCTCGTACCTTCTTCAGTTAATCCTCACACCTATGGGCAGCCACTGTCCTGATGCTTATCCCTGTGGGCTGTTTTAGCTCCCTCCACCTCCATACCGGGTTCAAACTCAGGACCTCAGGCTTGCGAGTCGGGTGCGGTGCCACTGAGCCCAATCCCTGGCCCCATGGCTTAGCTGATTCCTGAACTTCACATATGGACAGACACAGCTTGACACTAAACACTTTGGTGACTGTCTGAATAAGCAGTATAATTAATATACCGGGTTTTGAGATTGACCAGTCATTGTGTGTATTGGTGTTCTTTTTTATTGCTGAGTAGTATTCCAGTATAGGCATATACCATTATATGTTCATACATTCAACTGTTGATAGATATTTTGCTTGTTTTCTGTTATGGGCTATTATGGTTAAATACTACGTGGGCCGGGGATGTAGCTCAGTGGTTCCACCACCTGCTTCACAAGAGCAAGGACCCGAGTTTGATCCCCGACACACATACACACATACACACACAAGGCTAGATACTACTAAACACATTCTTATGCATGCATTCTGTGAATATGGTTTATTTCTTTTGGGTACATACTTAGGAGAATTACTGAATTATGGCTTATGTATATGTTTAGCTTTATTTTAAAACTTGCATTTTTTCCAAGTTGTTCTACTATTTCACACCCCTAGGAGAGTTCTACTGGGTCGACATCCTCACCAACATTTGACATTGTTGGCTTTTTTGGTTTAATCATTCTGATTTTTAACTTGCATTTCCTTGATAACCAGTGATACTGCCCACGTGTATATGTTTATTCACCTTTCCCGCATCTTCCTTGTGATGTGTCTGTTCAAGGCTTTGGCTTGTTTTATAACATGAGTTATCTTTAATATTTATCTGCTGTTTTTCTTTGGATGTACTCTTTTAGGCAGGAGTCAGATACCCGTCCTACACTGCACAGGTCTGCAGCAAGGGTCACAGAACACACTTGGGGGACTCGGGGCTAGATCTTACCAATCTGCAGTTTTTGCCTTGGGTGGTTTGAGCCGAGAGTCTCTGTTGCTGTCTTAGACAGTGTGTGACAGTGTGTGCTACCATCATCTTCAGAAACTTCCAGAACAAATAGCACACAGACAAGCAAGATTACGATGTCCTGCATGCACTCTGTTGTCAAAGTCTGTGAGTAGAACATTAAGTCTACTGATAAATGGGCGTTTCTGCCTGGGAAGGACCCATCCCACCATAATCACGGGTCATTGAAATGCTCTCTGCTGTACTGAAGGGGCTGGCTCATTAGTTCAGAGACGACTGCAGTTTGCCCTGGAGCACCTTGTTCGGACTTCAGGAAGAGAGCAGCCGCACTGGACAGGAGGCAGCTCTCCTGGTGCAGCCCACGAAGGTGAGGCGAGCTCCAAGTGCTGCTGTCAGTCATCTACTGCTCCCAGAACAATGAGGACACCAGAGTTTTGGGTGTTGGCTCTGCCTTGAGAGACTGTTCTATGATCACCATCCCCTGGGATAAAATTGATCTTATACATTGATAGCATTTTCAGAAGAAAACAAGGACAATTTTAGGCACATTTCCTTGGATGTTCCCTTTTCCCTTGCCAAAAAGTAATGAGACAAACCTACAGGCTCAGTTCCTTTTTGGTCAAATTGCAAATATGTGACATTTTAGGAATCTTGGGCCGCTTTAGTCCTTCACACCCATTCAATCACAGTTTGGTGATGGGGGTTTGATGGAATAAAGTCGTCTGTAGATTCAGGCCAGCTTGTGTTTCTGGGATTTTTGTAGCAACTATGGTTTCAGAAGAGAATGGAAAAAAGTAAACACAGCAGCTCAAAGGCAGGCTGACTTATAACTGGCCTGGGCCTTCTGGACTCATCCCTGTGACTGTTTCAGTTTTTCTGTTGTTCTAAATCATAAACAGACTTGTGTGGATTACTCTTTTGTATATTTGTGTGTGAAGCAGAACCAGGTTGGGGGATTCCCCAGGGGTACAAGTTTATATAACCTTTACCAATTCTAATATAAGACCCAGGGTTCATGTTTATTAAAAACGAGAGCAAAGACCTGAAGGAAGTGTAGTTCTCCCTATTGACACCATTTCCTTCTCATTTAAGGGTAACGGGAGAAAAATATTCCACACCCTAAGTGGCGTGCTCTTGCCTAGAGGGTCAAGGGGCTTTAGAAAATGTAAATCTCGACGCAGAGACTCAGATGTGTGGAGCTTATCAATGTGACTGACTTATAGGTATCAGGGGGAGATGTGTAGTACAAAAGCCTTGCTCAGTGGAGAGTGAATCACCCAAGTTTGTGCAGACGCATGACTTGGAGGTCACCCATTCACTGGGCCCATTCTCCGTGGGTCCGGCAATTGAGACTGAATTTCCATTATACGCCTGTGTGTGTGTGTGTGTGTGTGTGTGTGTGTGTGTGTGTGTGCGCGCGCGCGCGCGTGCCCGTAGCTTACATTCAAAATGTGTTACGGACTTTGACTGTGTAGCAATCAAATAAAATAGCTTGGGAGGGCCATTGTGATAGTGTGAAAAGTGTGTTCCTGGGACTTTACAGACTTAATCCGGGCTCTGGTAGTATTTGGATTTCTTGATATTCAGCCTGGCATCTTAATATATCCTAGACTTTGTTTAGGAGAAACAGTAAAGATCAAGGGTACGGTGGATATTGTCAGGATTGCCAGATAAAGTCTACCTTCCCTTCTTCTGCTTAGTGACCTGAGGTTTAGGGAAGAAGTCTCTGTGTCCCGTTGTAGAACAGCCACGAAAGCATAGCAGTCACTGTGAGGTTGAACCAGGCTCGGTCGGCCTAAGCCAGTCAGAATATCTTGTCTCACTGGCTACCATCAACTTGGTCAGTGAGGTTGACTGAAGCTTCTGAAAATAGTGTTTCTTTCTTTCTCTCTCTCTCTTTTTTTTTTTTTTTAAGTTTTTTGAGACAGGGTCTCATTGTGTAGTTGAGACTGACCTGGAACTCACTATGTAGCCCAGGCTGGTCTCAAACTCACAGCGATCCTCCTGCCTCAGCCTCCCAAGTGCTGGGATTACAGGCAGGCACCACCAGCCCAGCCCAAGAATAATGTTTCTTCACTCTTCTGCGTGCCTCTAAAGGAAATTGTCCTCCTCTAAATGGGTAGGGAAGATCCAGGTCCACTGGGCTGTGTAACCATTGTTGTCACCCTGAGTACACTTGGCCTAAGACGAAGCTGAGGCATCGGGAACAGGAAAGAGCAGAAGACAGAGGTGAGAGGTGAGCAAAAACAGGAGTGGGAACCCTACGGTCTCAATAACCTTTGGGTCAAGGCCTGGGTTGTCCAAGTAAGCAAGCCAATAAGTTCCCTGCCTTTTCAGTCTTCAGTTCCTGCCAAAAGCATCTTCACTGTTGCAAAGCGGGTGTGTTAGCAAGTAATTGCCGTGGACACACTGTCTGATAGAATTTCTATGACGATGGAATTTTTCTAGATCAGCACTGACTTGCGAAAAAGCCATTAGCCACGTTGGGTTGTGGTTTGTGGTGGAGGGAGTAAGTTTTTAACTTAATTTGATTAACTGAACTTTATGGCTACTTTATTGCACAGTGCATCTCTGAACGGCCTTTACGATCTCTAACAGTTCTAACACCGTGAGACTTTGTGAATCTACTTCAGTGTGTACAGTATCCATGCATGGATCTGTAGGCGACCTAAACTAAGATTCGCTGCCGGCACACAGAAAGCAGATTTCCAGTAAGGACAGGTGTGCTGCGTGTAGGCCTTCATTCTAAAACACCACGGTGTTGATTTCCGAGTAGGGGATAAAACAGCAATGCTGTACTTGTTACTCCTTTGCACAGTAGGCATGTTACAGCTGGTAAGACTCGGGTAAATAAAATAGAACCACTAATGATAATTTGAGGATTGTATGAGAGGATCTATGTAAATATCCAACAGAGAATGTTTCTTTTCATCTCTTGTCAATACACCTTTGCCGTACATAACGATTTCATTCATAGCAGGGAGTTGGTCAGCGCGGGTTACACATCTTAACCCTTTTTCTGCTGTCTTCCCCTTCCCCTCGCCCCTCCATCCCTTGGTCCCCTTCTTTATGCAAAAGATCCATCTCCCTGATTCCTGTTATGTTTTACTTCATTCTTTAGTTTATCTGTAGTTTTTCACATAAGAGAAACTATGCAATATTTCAGCTTGTGTGTTTGACTTATTTCACTTTAACACTGTGGCCTCGGATTGCATCCATTTTCCTACCAGTGATTCAAGTTCATCCTTCTTTATAGCAGAGTAGTACTCCACTGTGTATAAATGCCACACTTTCTTTATTCATTCATCTGTTGATGGACGTATAGGCTGCTTCCAAGACTTAGCTATTCTGAGTTATACTTCTATGCACATAAGCATGTGTATATCACTGTAATATGATATCTTTCTTTCTTTTCTTTTTGTTTTGAGCCAGGGTCCTACAAGGCATTCTAGGCTGGCCTTGAACTCATGGCAATCCCCCTTAGCTTCAGCCTCCTGAATGCTGGGATTCCATGTGTGTGCCACTCTTCTCAGCCCAT